TAGATACAACCACAAACATCTTCTTTTCCTTCTTCTCCTTAATACTTACTATAAATTATGGACACCCCTCCTCCTCCTCCTCCTCCTCTTCTTCTTCTTCTTCTTCTTCTTCTCCTTCTTCTTCTTCTTATGATACATTACACACATATGGGTTAAACCACATAACCATAAACCGACCAGATGGATTAGGTTGTCAGACTCTGTGACTTGGTTGATTGCCTGTCACCGTACCGCGACTTTTAAGGGATGGTGTACATTTGTAGGTTTGGGCAAGCCGAAATTACAGAGACCATATATACGTAGCTGAGGGTGTGGCTGACTACTTTCAGGCGGATGTGATGGGTTTTGTGAGAATTCTTGATGTTGGTGCTGGCACAGGAATGTTAGCGGAGCAGGTAAGCCCACTGTGTGGAATCCTCATGTTAGTGAGTGAATGAGTGAGTGAGTGAGTTGGATTTAACGCCGCTTTTAACATTATTCCAGTTATATCAGCTTAATGTGGGAGAAAAGCCCGAAGTGATGCAGTTCACGGACGTACTTCGGTGAAACCCACGAGCATGGGTATGGTGCTGACAAACCTAGAAACATAATCGGGGCGAACCGGGATTCGAACCCACAATCATAGGTTTCTGGCGTGCCCAAGGGACGCACCTCTGCAGCGCCTTAGACGACTGGGCCAGTTATTCTTTGGTGTCACTTGTGGATATGGAGAGTGAATCATAATACAATGTTTGAGAATCGTCAGGTTCAGGCCACATAATTGATGATGCTATATGTGAGGATCCTCGTTAAGAACGTTGTGGCATTTGGTGACAGGACGTCAGTTTGTGTGAGATAGTACGTGAGAAGCAGTGTGAGTGAGTGACCGTATGTCATATTGTGTGAGATTGAGTGACAGGACGTCAGTTTGTGTGAGATGGTACGTGGGTAGCAGTGTCAGTGTGTGACAGTATGTCATATTGTGTGAGATAGAACGTGAGCAGCTATGTAAGTGAGTGTCCGTATGTCATATTGTGTGAGATTGAGTGACAGGACGTCAGTTTGTGTGAGATGGTACGTGGGTAGCAGTGTCAGTGTGTGACAGTATGTCATATTGTGTGAGATAGAACGTGAGCAGCTATGTAAGTGAGTGTCCGTATGTCATATTGTGTGAGATTGAGTGACAGGACGTCAGTTTGTGACTGAGGGTGACAGGGATTCCGATAGTATGTGATTGAGGAACAAAGATTCAGTTAGTAAGAAATAGGGTGAAAGGAATGAATATGCGTCAAAAATCATAAATAAAAACGACAAAACACTTTCCATAGTTTCGATTACGAAAACGTTCGTTAACAGAAATGTAACAGGAATGGGAGAATAACAATCAGAAGTGTTTGCTGAGCAAATTGGTTTTGGTTGTATCTGTAAGTCTCAACAATAAAAATATGTTTCAACTTATAGACTGTAGGAAACATATGGGTTTTATGACTGAGAAATTAGATGCTGGGTGGGAAAAAGAAGGTGGTGGCTCTTTTGGCAACAAGAGTTTGTGAGATAAGGATATGGGGAATATATGAAGGCCGAAACAGTTTAAAATATTGATTATATGTTTCAGTTGTGGACAAGAGGATTTAGGCAAATAGATGGCCTTGATCCATCGACTGGTATGATGAGTGAAGCAATGAAGAAAGGCGTGTACACAGATTACTACCTGGAGTTCATGGATGGACACACCATTAAACAACTGGACACAGGTGAAATGTTAGACAGATTTTGGTTTTCACCTCGGTAACATGACAATACGAGTTACGAGTCAGACTATAAGAAATCGTCACATGCTCGACGTCCACATGTTGTACCATCCCTTACAAATCGTGATAGCACCAACACACTGGCGACACATGGGTAATCGTCGCTGTTTATTTTGCATCATATGTATTATATAGAGATTACTACACGAGTGCCTGTCAGTATTATATAGAAGAAGAAGAAGAAGAAAATTGTTTTATTTAGGTGTCACCCGGCGTTGTATACAATAATATTTCAATTTGGTAAAATACAGGCAGATATATATAAAAAGAATAACGCCAGCCGGCCTATAAAGGCCTATGAGACACATGTTACACAGTAAAAAGCATGTTATATAAAAAAGAAGTTTATAAAACCACTTAAGTGCATTTGAAATACTAAGAAAATTAGAGTTAGAGTTACGAACCATGGGGTTTTATAAACTAAGTAATCAGGGACTTACGACGGTTATACATTTTAGACAATGATACGGCTATTTTCGTACACAGGGAATTATTGGACATAAGGTAGAGAAACTGGTCAACTGTGGACAGCTGAGGGAAAGAAGGATTAAGAGTAGAAGCAAACTGAAAGAGGTCGTAACGCAAATCAGCATAACGTTGACAAAACATAAGAAAATGAAGTTCATCTTCGACAGAATTACTGTTGCAGAACTTACATATTCTCTCCCCAAGGAGGATAACTGGACGTGAAAACCTACCAAGTTCTACCTGAAGCGGGAGTGTTCCACAGCGGAATTTACTAATCTATCAAGAGGAGAACTGACATAAGCTTCTACATCTAAACTATTTTTAAACAAGCGGTATGTTCGTAGTTTATTTCCATTAACGTTTCCTTTGTCATCCCATAATTGGGTAAACCAGTTAATATAATCAGCATAGATCAAACCCTTGTTTGAAAGATCAAATTCACATGGCGAAATGTCATAAATATTAGAAACAGGCAACTCCCAAGATGAAAGGAGAGATAAAACTTTACTGTACCATGATTTACTAAAATTGGAAGACCATCAGTTAACTGCACAAACAAGTCTTGAATGCTGAACATAATTAATACGACGCCCAAAACTGAGAATTTCAATGTACTGTTTTGTAAGACAGGACACCCAACCCATGTCACCACGGACTGCAACATTCGGGGTTTTGTTACTCACACTGAGAAAAAAGCGACATGCTCTGTTTTGGATGTTATTGATACATCTGAATTCCTTAGTTCCCCAGATGGCTGAACCATACGATAAAATAGGCTGCACAAGGTTTACGTAGAGGGTATTATAAACACTATAAGGTAAATCACCAACTGACTTAAATTTACATTGCACCCAATGCACGACTGGCAGACTTGGCTAGCTCGTTCACTGTAAAATTTAGGTCAAGATGCTCATGAAACCAGAGACCAAGATATTTGTATGCATGAGTATAATCAATGACATTGTTACTTAAAGTAAAAACAAATTTGGATCGGGGTATTACATTTGGGCGGAAATGGATGACGTTTGTTTTTTTAACGTTGACTAGCAAGCGCCAACGGGCGCACCAGTCGCTAACACACTCAAGCATACGTTGCAAGCTACACTCGTCCGGGGCTATTAAAGCAATATCGTCTGCATAAAGCAGAGTACTCAACATTGTATGATCAATGTATATACCGCAGTTCAAATTGTTGCTTTCACTGACCAAGTCGTTTACGTATACTGAAAATAATGTCGGCGACAGGACACAACCTTGTCGAACTCCAGAATAGACTGGGAATATATCAGTGTGACTGTTGTTTGTGATTTAGTTTTGTTATACATTGACTGAACTGCATGAAGAAATCTACCATTTATACCTAGACACATACATTTGTACCACAGACACTCTCTATTGACAGTGTCAAATGCTTTTTTGATGTCAATGAAGCATACATAGGTAGATTGTTTTAAAATTTTTCTTCTATTGGTAATTGAGTACAGAGTATACAAATGTTCTTGAGTACTACGTTTTGTGCGAAACCCGTTCTGTTCGTCAGCTAGAATGTTATTACTTTCTAACCATGTATTTAACCGCGTATTTAAAATGTAAGAATAAAGTTTACATGGAATTGATAAGAGAGATATGCCTCTATACCCGAGGGGATCACGGGGATTTCCATGAGCTTTTTTAATGAGATTAATCATACTTGTTTGTCAAATTTCTGGACAAGTGGCATATTTAAAACAAAAAGTAAACAATTTCAACAGTAAATCAACACAATAACTGTTTTTAGAGCTTCTGAGCTTCTCTTTATAGAGATTACTACACTCGTGCCTGTCAGATACCATTGATCTTACAACAAGTTAATATACAACGAGTAAATATCCGATATTTAGATTTCTATGCACATAGTAAATAACGCCGTGAATTGTGATTTGGCGCGATTCACGATGTACCTAATTTTCAGTCACTTTCAGTAATTCTGCTTTTCCGAAAATGACAGTAAATGATAAACAGAAGGGGAAATTCAAAACTGTCAAGAGTACTAGTTTGCGTGATGTATTTTGAATTTTATGCGACTTTGAAGTGAGGGTTGAAGAGGAGGGACATATGCGTCGCTGTGGCATCCAGGGGGTTTTCACTTTAGAAAAAACGATAATGTTGACATCACAACAGATAATGTAACTGATAATAATAACAAATAAACTCGCAGACGAGGACGAGTTTGTTTATTATTGTTGCGTGGTTCATGGGTACGTTTAATAATAGTTGAAACAAGTCGGGTCTGGTACACAAAGTCAATTCACAAGGCTCAAAAATCTAGTTCACTCGGATCAGGATCAACACATGTGCTCCACATGGTGGCTGACACCTTGGATCTAACAAAAGTGGAATTTCAGAAAAATTGGATATAGACTGGGTTAATACTAAAACAATGAATAGTATTAATTAATTGAAGCCCAGGTAAAATATCTCCAAACACATAAGCAGCTATCACTGTATAACAGCCGCCCCAAATTTGGGAACTAAATTTTAAACTAAATAAAGATCATGTCAATGTTTCACAATAAATCAAAGTTCATGATTTCTTCAACCTGAAAGAAACACATTTGAAACAAAACATGGAATCAATGGCTATCAAAATGTCATTAATTGTCAACTGGTTCAGGCACATTGTCTTATTCAGTCATATTTTGGCAATTTGATCAATTTTGACACTGGTCGGAGAATCTCATTGTCACTGGTCTTTACTTTTGCTTATCGTACTCTACCGTCGGACCCTGCATAGGTCTCTATCACTTGTCCAATCTTCCACTCACTGCGAGTGTGAAGAGGGTCAATGATTAGCACAACATCGTCAGTTTGTACATTGCGCCGTTCGTCCGTCCATTTCACACGTGGCTGGAGATTTGGCAAGTACTCCTTGATGAATTTCCTCCAGAAGTGATCAGCTAGTACTTGACTTTGACGAAATCGTTTCTTTGTTAGTCTGTCTTCATTCAGGTAGACAACCTGAGGAAGTGCTGGGTCTGATCTCCCGATCAGCAAGGTGTATGGAGTTACAGGATCGGTATCGGAGATGTCCGATGAGGTGTAACCCAGAGGTTTGGAGTTCAAAATAGATTCTACCTCTGTCATGACAGTTCTCAGGACAGATTCACTGACGGATTCAGTTCCTAGTATACTGCGTAGGCCATACTTGATTGATCTAATTTCACGTTCCCACAATCCACCAAAGTGAGGGGCAAATGGCGGATTGAATTGGAATCGGATATGGTTCTTGGCGAGTTTTTCTTTCAGTTCAGAGTTCATAGCTTCAAAAGCTTTGCACAATTCATTTTCACCACCTTTGAAGTTTGTGCCACAGTCTGACAACAGTTCAAAGGGACAACCCCTCCTGGAGATGAATCTGCGAAGGGCCATTAGGAATGCGTCCGTGTCCAGACTGTCAAGTATATCAATGTGGACGGCTCGGGTTGTCATGCATTTAAAGATGATTCCATACCTTTTCTCTCTGTGTCTGCCAATCTTTATATACATAGGCCCAAAGCAATCTATTCCTGTCGAATAGAAGGGTGGTTTGAACAGTCTTAGCCGAGCCTCTGGTAGGTCGGCCATCAAAGGAATCTCTGGATTTGCTCTCCATTTCTGACAATCATGGCATTGTCTCTGATGTTTTTTAATAGCTTCACAGCCTCGAAGAATCCAGAATTTTCTTCTGATTTCACCGTGTAGTCTTTCAGCACCATAGTGGTGGAGGTCAGAGTCATATTTCTTTATGAGGAGCTTCGTAACATTATGATTTGGATCTAGAACAATGGGATGTTTTACATCGATTGACAGTTCATCACATCTTCTCAGTCTACCACCAACACGTATGACGTGATGGTCTTTATCATACTCTGGACTGAGTTGCGAGAGCCTGCTGTTAGATGCTATTCTCAGACCTTTGGATAATGCTTTCATTTCATCTGGAAGGCATTCTTCCTGAGCTTGGCGATACAATTGTAGTTCAGCTTTCTCAACATCAGTACCATTGATGGAGGCCGCCCCATCGGGATCCTCGATAGTATTGATTGTGGCATCAAGGAGTTTTTTCCCATGATCGATGTAGAGATGTATCAGCTTTGGGTTGAACTGTGGTGTGACTGCAGAAGGCTTTCTGTAGTTCAACACTACAGGGATCAGTTTCAGGTTTTGGTTTTGCATCACTGAGAGGCCATTCAGTATCTGAAAGGTTTAGAAATGCTGGGCCATTTCTCCATCTTGTCTCTGCACACAAGTCCTGCATGGTCTTTCCTCTGGTGATATCATCGGCCGGGTTTTCCTCTGACGGGATATATCTCCAGTCATGATATTCAGTAAGTGTTTGAATTTCTGCTACTCGAGTTCCCAGAAACACTTTGTAGCGACATGATTGGGATGTCAACCATGCTAGGACAGTTGTTGAGTCACTCCACATGATCACTTTGTCAATGTCAATGGTCATTTCACTGGTGAGTGTGCTGGCAAGCTGGGCTCCTTTTAGAGCAGCTTACAGTTCAAGGCGGGGCATTGAGAGGGCTTTCTTAGGAGCCACTCTGCTTCGTGCCGCAACAAAGGAGACATGAGATGATCCATCATTGGTCTCTGACTTGAGGTATGCGACAGAACCAGATACTTTTTCTGATGCATCACAGAAAATATGTAACTGTCTCTGATTGACTGGTTCAGGTGGATCAATGCATCTTGGAAGTGAGACTTGGTTCATAAGTTTCAGTTCAGATTCCCACAGATGCCATTCTGTGAGAAGTTCACATTCTGGAAGTGGTTCTCCCCACTGAGGTTTGTGTTGCCACAGTTGCTGAACGATGACTTTGGCTCTTGCTAGATAAGGTGTGAGGAATCCAAGAGGATCGTACTGACTTGCTAGTATCCTATATACTACATTCAGTGTCAGAGTAGAATATGCAATGGGTCTGTACTTGTAAGTGATACGATCCTTTTCACATTGCCATTGAAGGCCAAGAGTTCCTTCGTGTGGTTCAGTGTTGCCTTGCATGAGCCACAATTCACAAGTTTCAGATCTGGCTTCACTGGGCAAGTCCTTAACAACGTCAGGATCATTGCTTATCCACTGTCGGATATTGAATCCACCAGACTTCATAACATGACGTAGTCTACTTATGAACTCCCTGGCCTTATCAACTGTAGGGAATCCAGACAAGCAGTTGTCAACATAGAAGGAATCTTGAACTGCTTGTTGCACATCAGGATATTCCTCTTTGTTTTCTGTGCCCAGTCTCTGAATTGCATATGTGGCACAACATGGTGAACAAGTTGTACCGAATGGTAATAATTGCCATTCATATATTGAGACATCCCTCTCTGTATCCATTTCCCTCCAAATGAAACGAAGCAGGTTTCTGTCTTCAGGCAACAGTCGGATCTGATGAAACATAGTTTTGATGTCTCCTGACACAGCTATGACATGTTGGCGAAATCTCAAAAACACCCCGAGTAAGGAGGCACCTAGTGTCGGTCCTGGAAGTAACTGCTTATTCAGTGAAAGTTTCTGATATTCGTATGAGCAATTGAATACCAGTCTGTGTTTACCATGTTGTGCGATAACGTGATGTGGGATAAACCAGGACTCTGGTGTTGAAGATGCTTCTTCTTCACTTATCACTTTGACATATCCCTTGACAACAAGTTCTTGGATTTTCTCATTGTGTATGGATGCTATGTCAGGATGCTTGCTGAGTCTTCTCTCAGTTCTTCTCATGTTCTCTAACACAGACTCTTTACCTGTTTTGAGTACAGTCTTGTCAGGTATTCTGAGAAGAGGAGTGGCGAAGTGGATTTCACTATCTACTGTCACTTTGACGGTTTTGTCCTCAAGGGTTTTGAAGGCAAAATGGTCTAGCTTGGATCGAGTCACCTGTTTTGTGGTGTATGGCAAGATGTCGATCTTCCATAGCCTCTCAACATCATCAGTGATCTGGTTCATGGGTACGTTTAATAATAGTTGAAACAAGTCGGGTCTGGTACACAAAGTCAATTCACAAGGCTCAAAAATCTGGTTCACTCGGATCAGGATCAACACATGTGCTCCACATGGTGGCTGACACCTTGGATCTAACAAAAGTGGAATTTCAGAAAAATTGGATATAGACTGGGTTAATACTAAAACAATGAATAGTATTAATTAATTGAAGCCCAGGTAAAATATCTCCAAACACATAAACAGCTATCACTGTATAACAATTATTATTATTAGTAGTAGTATTAGTAGTAGTAGTAATTACACGGTCCTGTGATTCAACATAGACGTAGGTGAACATTCGACTGAAGCACGAGCAACTTTTCAATGAGTTACAATTAGAAAAGTATTCATCATCTGACCTCAGGTCATCACCATGGAGGAGCCAATCACGGGACTGAAATTCGATCTCACACATGTGTTTGATACCAGTTATCTCAAATGGGTTTCTCAACCACAGGTGTGGAAGAAATGTTTATGACTGGTGGTTATTACTGGCAGGAAATGAAGGAGGCACTAATAATAATCGAGTGATGGTACTGACCTTTACTGCTAGTATAGAATGTATGTATGTATGTATGTGTGTGTGTGTGTGCGTGCGTGCGTGCGTGCGTGCGTGCGTGCGTATGCGTGCGTGCGTGTGCGTGTGTATGTATGTATGTATGCATACAATTATTTATGTATGTTTGTATGTATGTGCGTGCGTGCATGCGTGCACGATATATATATATATATATAGATATATATATATAGATATATATATAGATATATATCCTCTACTTTCAGACAGCTACAACTGTTTGGTTGCTGCTGCTGCTTTCAACACAGGTCTTTTACCCTGTGTTGCTCTACTCGAGATGGCGCGACTGGTGAAGCCAGGTAACAAAGTTTTACTTTCCCTTCACTCACTGGACATGAATCGTGTGTCCTTCAAGTAGGAATTTACAGACACTGTATTATCTTGACTTGAGGACTGTCTTTATAATTATGTCCGGGGGACCAACTAATATGTAATGATTTCAACGAATCCCACATTTTACAGACACGCCGTGATACAACTGGGATACTGTTTAAAACACTCACTCAGTTATTTCGAGGAGGTGAGGTTGTGGCTTTGCTTTTTTGTCTCCTGTTACAGCAAAGCAGCTCTTTATATAAATAGTTTTGTTAATTGTTTTCCAGGTAACCATATCATCGGCCAGAGGCCTACAAATAAACACACCCTTTCCTTTACCATTTTCCTTTGACACTATACAGAATCACGCACACCTCCTTATTCTTCTTATGATGCTTTACCCTTTCCCTTCATAACATTACACATTGTTTTCCTTGTGCTTTGCTTTGGATTTCTTGTTCTTGTGCCAGCATCACACGACTGGGGACAACAGAAATGGGATAAAGGCATTGTAGCAATGTGGGCAAACGAACCTGGGTCGTAACCACCATCCCCTGAAGGTGGATATTATGTTTTACAGGTTGCATGCTTTGTTTGGTTCTACAAGGGATACGTTCAGAAACCCCCCGGGGTATTACTATAAGCGTACCTTTCAGATAACTGGAAATAGTCCAATACTGACATATTTGAAGTACTGAAGTTTTGAGAGTAGCTTAACATATTCGAATGGTAGACAAATAGTTTATTTTTTACCATTAAATCTGTGACTCAAGAGATCCATTTCAACTCTCCTGAATGTTGCTGTGTCAAAGTGTATTTTAACCTATAAACAAATCAGCGAGAAATTAGGACCTCGTGTCTGAAACTATGACCATTTCAGTAAATATATTTCGAAAGTTCTAAGCTATTGCGTAAGTCCCATATTTTTGACAAAAGAACCGATCTGATGTTTCGGTGTTGTCTATTACAGGAGGTCTGATATGCTTCGGGGTCCCTGACGCTCGCTTCACTGACGTAAAGGAATACAACAACAGACTGGAACCTCTGATGCAGCGGATAGAACAGGATGGACTGTGGCAACTGTTGGACAAGAAACACTATGATGACTTTTATGATGATGCAAATCCTGGAAATGTCTTCAGATATATTGTTCGTGCTTCTGATGTCAATGTAAAACTATACGTAGAAAAGCTTTGTCATGCATGTTGACGTTCTTTCACTGGATACAACAATGTTGAAGAAATCCATGAATTATTATAACGGCTGTAGTGGTGTAGCATGTACATATTAATCCAATTATTACTGAAACAATATCCTCTCGTTACAAAGCACGTTGTGGAGACTGGTATGCACAGTTTTACAGATAATGCAGCCTCGTCTTGCTCATTTTTTGTCGGTCGGAGCTGTTAGTCCGTCTACTATCTTCTTGCCACCAGGTGGCGCTCTCCCATTTGAAACAATATAATATCTCTCTTCAGTGTATTTACTTTCCGTTTGTTAACTAATAAAATCCTTCTATTGTACAGGCCTTTCATGGTCTTTTATTAGTTTTTCCCTGAAAAAGGAACGTACTTTGGAGATTTTATTGGCTTTCACACCCTGAGTTGCATTCTGGTTTTCTGTGCAAAGCATGTTTTGTGTTTGTGCGGTCTTGCGTCACAGAGTCAGTACAATATTACAAGTGGGACAGATGGGCTATATCTAAAGGTCGTGGTGGGTCCTGAAAAATAATAAGTTGTAGGTTAAAAAATGATTTGCCTCCACCTTACAAAGAACAGAAATGTACGTTTTGAATTACTGACCGAAAAGCAAAAAAACCCAGAAAATCACAGGCAACCACTGAAGTTCAAAAAACTTTCTTACGAAGCGGGCTAGAGGATGTAACTTTCTGCATTAAAGCTCTTCTTCTGTGGACATATGGTTTCCAAACTCGTAACTTGAGTTATTAAACCTGATGTGCATATATTATTTTCATGAAGGTGAACATTTTTGTTTTATGGTTCAATTACAGGAGACAGGATATCATTAAAAATGGAAGTTCTCATTAAAGTACACTGAGGCAAGTACTACCTCGGACTATGAGTTGTGTGTTGGCAGCTGAAGATCCCTCCGGTTCCTGCATCATCTTTGAGTCTCTCTCTTCTCCCAGATCACCAAGCAACACCTCTAAGCAATTGTAAAGGAAAGAGTATCACGTTCGAATGTTGATACCATGTCCGCATGGATGTCTGTAGCAGTTATCCCTTTAGCTTGCAGATAATTGTTGACAGAGTGGAAGCCAGTTTTGTCCGTATCTATCTCGAGAGGATTCTCAGGCACTTTGATGCCTGTAGAAATATGATACCTGTTTGTGTATCTGGTTCAAATGCAGCCTGTAAGCATGGGAAGTACATGTTCTGTGATATATGCTAACAAATATTTTGCCCAGTGTGCATTATACGCACGCAACTGGTAGACACTCTCATGCACGAACTGCTACTGTAAACATCGCCTCAGTTTGCTGTCAGTGTTTACAGAAAAAGTGCTCTCGGAGTTTTGACCTCATGGTGGTGTCGCTGGTATGGATTACCAATCGTCTTCATGGCGTCTAAGGTTCAGCCCATGAAAGACTGAATAAGAAACGCATTCAGTACACGAGGCATGCCTCATCCCACTTCACAATCTTCAGTTTTTTAAGAGTTGTTCAATGGCTTTTCTCACCGGTTAAAAATCAACCTAGATTGAGATAGTAAGGGAGGTAGACGGGAAGTAATAATGACAGAGACTTTAAGTGACAATGACAATGACAAAGAAGACATAATGCAATTCCAGTTCCGGATTATCTACATTCCAAAACTGAGGCAGCCTTAAAATCCTTCCATTCACTCAAACCCATTTTTAACATGGAGAGAGACGAATTTGAGAATACCACATGAGCTTCAAATATAGGCGACACAGAGTATAGTCTGTTCTAATTTGGTTGCACATGCACATAGAAACCGGTGAACGTGTTGTGAAAGTTCCACTGGCAACAAGAGACGACTTGTTCTATTGAAACAGAGTTCCATGACGCTGGTTGATTCATAAGGTTCTGATCTCATAACCTGTCAAGGCACCCAACGTTTGAGTAGAAAGGTCTAAATCTCCTTACCCGCACAGTTCTCTCCCTTGTTGCCTGCCCAACTCAAACTCCTTCCCCGCACAGTTCTCTCCCTTGTTCCCTGCCCAACTCAAACTCCTTCCCCGCACAGTTCTCTACCTTGTTCCCTGCCCAACTCAAACTCCTTCCCCGCACAGTTCTCTCCCTTGTTCCCTGCCAAACTCAAACTCCTCCCCCGCACAGTTCTCTTCCTTGTTCCCTGCCCAACTCAAACTCCTTCCCCACACAGTTCTCTCCCTTGTTCCCTGCCCAACTCAAACTCCTTCCCCGCACAGTTCTCTTCCTTGTTCCCTGCCCAACTCAAACTCCTTCCCCGCACAGTTCTCTCCCTTGTTCCCTGCCCAACTCAAACTTCTTCCCCACACAGTTCTCTTCCTGGTTCCCTGCCAAACTCAAACTCCTTCCCCGCACAGTTCTCTCCCTTGTTCCCTGCCCAACTCAAACTCCTTCCCCGCACAGTTCTCTCCCTTGTTCCCTGCCCAACTCAAACTCCTTCCCCGCACAGTTCTCTTCCTTGTTCCCTGCCCAACTGAAACTCCTTCCCTGCACAGTTCTCTTCCTTGTTCCCTGCCCAACTCAAACTCCTTCCCTGCACAGTTCTCTCCCTTGTTCCCTGCCCAACTCAAACTCCTTCCCTGCACAGTTCTCTCCCTTGTTCCCTGCCCAACTGAAACTCCTTCCCTGCACAGTTCTCTCCCTTGTTCCCTGCACATCTCAAACTCCTTCCCGACACAGTAAACTCCCTTGTTCCCTGCCCAACTCAAACTCCTGGATAGTTTCTTTCCTTGTTCACTGCACCGTCCTTTCCCTTGTTAACAGCACACCTCAACCTTTGTCCAACATCAAATAGTAAACATCATATAGTAAACACCAAATAATAAACTTCAGTTAGTGGACATCAAATAATAAACATCGGTTAGTCGACATAAAATA